TTAAAAGCATCCACTATTGAATTTCTTCAATAGAATTTATGTTGAAATTATTAGATAATAGTATAAATTATATCTTAAAATTTTATTTAATAATTTTATTTTTTAATTTGAATTAATTTTTTGATAAAAAAAACTATCTTAATTTAATAATTTAAATTTTAAAATATAATTTATATTATTTTTTAATAAATACTACCATATAATTAGCTTAAAATGACAGCCACAAACTATCAAGTGAAACCTTGAAGGGGAAAAAAAAAAGTGAAATGAAATCCACCGCTATTGGATGCCATTCGTTTCAAGAGTTCAAGTTTCAAGCAATGACCAGTGACCGTTTCCTAATTATCAAGAAAAAGAAATTGAACCACAAATATATCATTGAACATTGGACAGCGAGATGCTAATGGAATAATAATTTGTCATCTCGAGGCTGGCAGCCACAAAAACATCATCATCTCTATTATGGCAAGAAAGTGATGCTTCTCTTACTAAATTTAAAGTTAGTCTTCGAACCCATCATCAGTCTCGTGAATTTGAACATACAAAGGTAATGAATACAAATAAAATCCAATGCTTACATCTTAATTAATTAACTTTTAAGTACTCCCACTCTTACGGATGCTGGAAATGGCATCGTTTTCCATGCCACAAAGCTATTGCAATGTTTTACATGAACTCCCTTGCTTTATTGCAGCGAAGGGGCTGCACCTCGAGGGTGAGTGAATATTTCTTCTGTCAAACACGCGTAATTAATCATGGAGGACACTAGCTAGTTGGTAGCTCAAGCTTGCATGTTTGAACACGGGTTTTCCATAATGATTTCTACTGGAATTTATCCTAATTAATTTTGTTTTTTATTTATCTGTAAACCCATATTGATTTTTAGTGGATTTCATCCTAAGTAGTATGTTTTTTTAAATAAAAAAAATCTGCAAGACGTAAACTACATGGAAGTGATCATCGACACATCCATGTAGTTTGTTTTGTTAGTAATATTATAAACCTTGAGGTCTTACATGAGATCAGTTATGCTACCCATTGTCTGCTAATTATCAAGAACATTATACAGATTAATACATATAAAACTACACTAACATATGATATGGCCCTTAATTTTAATAATTAATGGTATGAGATGTACTTAATTTGTCGAACCTAATATATCTGTTGAAGCCTGTTGCTCAGTAGGGACAAACATGATTTTTTCAAATTATTTTAGGAGCAGTTAGGGTGCTAAACAACTCAGCTTGTTGCATTGTAGAATATATTAAAAAAAAATACATAAATATATTACTCTTAATTTCTTGTACGTATTCCAATCACCTGGTAGTTTGCTTGTCCTTATACATTTTTGTTTGTAGGTGGAAAATCATCAATGCTAATATCATAATAAAAATAATGATGATTGCATATTCGTAAAGAAATCAAGAGATCCCACAACCTTGATTAGGAAGTAATTAAGAAATTAACGACGTTACACATCTCTCTAAAATTATGGGCAGCTACCAAACTTCTACTTCTGCAATAACATGTGTGTATTGATTAAATTATGATCATAGAAAGGCTGTGATTAGTGACTGAAAATAAAATTATATTATAGGAATTGTCAATGAGCAAATTCAGGAAACCATAGACCACGGGATATGACACATTCAAGTTGAACTTTAGTTGACCCGAACTTGGAAGAAAAAAAATTGCTTATTGTCTCGTGAATTTGTTAAAAGCTTGACAATAAATAATTGCTTGGAATTTTCTTTTATTTGAAGAATAACTCTTTAGTACTTGATTAAAAGTGACAATTAAGTATCATAATTAAAAAAAATAGTAATAATAACTAAGTTTTTCTATCCATTTTTCTTATTCAAATTTGAATTCACACACACACACATATAGAGTTTTTATTATTTCATAAAATTCGATAACATAATTTTTCTTTACAATTATTTTTCAATAATATGAAAAAAATATTAAAAACTAATTTTAATTAAAAAAATTTACTAAATCCATAAGTTGTGGCGAGCTGAGTTTCTTTAATAAACACATAAATCATACTAGCCTTTTAGAAAAACAAAATAAAATAAAAAAATAAAAAAATTAAATTTTTAATCATTTCAATATTAAAAAATAAAATTGATAAAAATAATTTTTTTTAAAATCACAAAAAAAAACCATATATATAGAAAAAATAATATAGATAAACATATTAATAATTTATAGTGTTCTGTTAAAAAAAGAATTAATACTTTTTTATATATATTTTAGTTTTTATATAAAAAATTATAACATGTTGTTTGTAATCCTATGAATCCAATTGAATTTTAAAATTGAATTCACCTATTTAAATTATTTTTTGCATTTAAATTTTTTATAGTATTAATTTGAATTTTAAATGAAATTTAAGTAATAGAAGACTTGACGTAAACAAATCAGATTTGAAGCCTTCTGATTTGTGATGATGATTCTAAAGAAAAAATAATATTAAAAAATACCGCTCTTTCTTTTATTCAAAAACCATACAAAGTAACTGTCTCGTCGCCCTTTCTTACGTGTCTTTGACTCCACTTTCTTTAACCACTACTTACTTGTAAACAAAAACTTTAGGTTTTTTCACTTATTTTGAATTTGAAAATTTTTATCGGTGATCAATATCTTTTAAATTATTAGAATTATAAATTATGATTATTTTTAAAATTATTAATATTTTTAAAATTATATTGTTCATTAACTTTTTTATTTAATAATGTGATTTTTATTATTTGATATCTATTTTATATAAGTTTGATTTGAGAAAAACTCAATAATTTTTATTCAATATTTCTAATTTCTTTCTCGATATTCCAACGACATGATTTCGAAATAATCTATAGAACACAGGATATGACACATTAAATTGGAACTTAGTTGACCAAGTGGAAGCTAAATAGAAGGAAAAAAGAGAGCATGTTTTTGGTAATTGTTTTTTTTTTAAATTGACTTTGTCTAAAGTCTAAACCAACCCTTTAATCATTGTTTTGTAAATTTGTTAAAAGTTTGACAACAAATAATTGACTGGAAAGTTTTTTCTTCTTCTTCTAGAGTAACCCTTCAATTCTTGATTTAAAGCGATAGCTAGGTTTTACTATAATAATAATAATATTTATTTAATTTTTATTTAACAACCCATTTATATTTATATTTTATTTAATTATTTTTTAAATTATCGGTGCGTATTTCGAGTGTGGTTACTTTTTAAAATACTTTTAATTTAGAAAAATATAATAATACTATTTTTTATTTTTTAAAAATTATTTTTGAAATCAATATATTAAAATAATTTAAAAATATTAAAAATATATTAATTTTAAATAAAAAATTTTAAAATTTTTTATAAATACTTTTCAAACATATTTCCAAACACATTCTAAATATATTTAAAATTAAACTGATATATCAAATGATATATCAAATAAAAGGAAGAAAATCTCAAGATATATGCCATAAGTTTGCTTACTTTTTTAATATTTCAAATTAGAATTTTAAAAGTAATATTTATTTTTCTTAACAAATTAGATGGTTTTGGTACTGGTTGAAAATACTTCCCTCGGTGGTCTGTACTTTTAAAAAACACGTGCGGGTGAAGTGGCTTTCATGCAGCTGTTTCAGTTTTGACTGTTTGACCAACAAAAACCAATCATGGACGTTAGATTTTTTGATCGGACGGCTAGAAACACATAACGTGTCGAGTGTAATCTTGGCCGCACGTGACCATGTATTAATTTTACAGCTGTAAAGTGTGTAATGATGGACTCCTGTCCTAAAACCGACCACAACCAGACAAACAAGTGGTCACAACTGTCGCTGTAAAAAGTTGAAATAGTCACTGTAAGAAAAATAGCCCGCTCCACAATGGTGAAAACTGGAAAGTACTCGACTTGGCAAAACAGTCATGATTCCCAACACCCATTAGCTTTACTAATGCAGTTTATTTTATTTTATTTATTTTTAAATTATTAATGATTTTTGTATGGGAATATAATAATTATTAAAAAAGCATTTAAAAAATTCAGCTAAAAACAATCTCTTTAAAGTAATTTCCTGATTTTGACTTTTACAAAAATCTGAAAAAATATTGATTTAATTTTTGAACACAAAAAATATTTTTAAAAATAATAGAAAATACTTTTAGTTTTCTTTTCTGGAAAATTTAAAAGATTACTTACTATATATCTAAATACCGATGATTAATAATTCAAATAAGAATCCATTCTTGTTGTGAAAAAGCCTAGGCCAAAAAAAGTATATTTATATATAACAAGATTACTGCAACATCTATAAAACATTTTTGATTTTTTTAATAATAAAATAAGTCCTCTAAAAGGTTTACATACTAATCAAGATTATTTTTTTAATAGTATTAATAACATATTCTCTATATCAATTCGATGCATTTAAATTAAAAAAATCTAATATAACAACAAACAATGTTCATACTCAAACTTGAAAATCTAGTGTATATTTAGTAACGACATGCAGAATGCTTTTTGGTAAAAATGATACCGAAGCCAACAGGGAGAGCTAAAGACAGGCAGCCTTGGAATAAATTCTCTCATCCACCACGCTCTTGCCACTCTTGTCTCTCTCGCTCTCTCTCTCCCCCAACCATGAAATCAAACTTTCTTGAAACAAGTGAGGTTCTAGCCTAGCGGTGGGAGGGGCTTGTCCCCTTCCTCCGCACCTGGGTTCGAACCTCACCATGCACGCCTGTCACCCCCGCGGTGCCTTACCTGCTCACTGGGCTTGCAGGATGTTCAGTGGGCCGTGGGGATTAGTCGTGGTGCGCGTAAGCTGGCCCGGACACCCCACGTAAATCAAAAAAAAAAAACTTTCTTGAAACAATTAAGAACCCATAAATCCAATTCCATTGTAGTTTAAACCACTCCCATTTAATTCCAAGGAATTCAATTCAATTCAATTCAATACCCTCAAAAAAACGTTTCTTTTCCAAGAAAAAAATGGTTTCCCTTGAAGATTCCCACTCCCAGCACTCCACTTCTAGTCGCTTCCCCTTAACCTCTTCTCCTTCCTCCTCCAAAATCATCCACCGACACGTCGGCCGTTCCATGCGCACTGTCCGTTCTACTCTCTTTCAGACCGACTCATCCTTCAGCAACTCAGCTGCTTCCACTCCCTTTGTGTCTGAAAACTTGACTGAGTCTGTCATCGACATGCGACTCGGCGAACTCGCGGCAACCTTAAGCATGCATAGTAATAATATTAGTAATATTAAGAATAAGACGTCGTCCTCGTCGGCATCGCCAGCTAAATCTGCTGAGGAGTTTCTTGATATTTCAGAAGCTTTTTCTGATTTCTCGGGCTGTAGTTCTGATATTTCCGGAGAACTGCAACGTCTTGCATGCTTGCCGTCGTCTCCGCTGCATCGTGATGGAGAGTTGGAGAAGAAGAACCCATCAACGGAAATTGTAGCTGAGCCCTGTCACGGGTTCTTACAGAGAGAATCCTTTTCTACGGAAATCATTGAAAGTATTTCTCCCGAAGATCTTCAGCCGACGGTGAAGATCTGTGTTGATGGGTTGCAGTCCCCTTCGATCCTTGTCAAAAGATCTGCTGCGGAGAAGTTGAGGTTTTTGGCAAAGAATAGAGCGGATAACCGGGCGTTGATTGGTGAGTCGGGGGCGATTTCTGCTTTGATCCCTCTGCTTAAGCAAAGTGATCCGTGGGCGCAAGAACATGCGGTGACAGCCTTGTTGAATTTATCATTGTACGAGGAGAATAAGAAGAAGATTACGAAATCAGGTGCTATTAAGTCTCTTGTTTATGTGCTTAAAACTGGGACTGAAAATGCTAAGCAAAATGCGGCCTGTGCGTTGCTTAGTTTGGCGTTGATTGAAGTGAATAAGAGCTCGATTGGAGCTTGTGGAGCGATACCACCATTGGTATCGCTTCTAATTAATGGTTCTAATAGAGGAAAGAAAGATGCGTTGACGACATTGTATAAGATTTGTTCAATAAAGCAGAATAAAGAGAGGGCTGTCATTGCTGGGGCAGTTAAGCCATTGGTGGGGATGGTGGTGGAGGCGGGGGCAGGGATGATGGCTGAGAAAGCAATGGTGGTGTTGAGCAGTCTGGCTGCAATTCAAGAAGGGAGAGATGCTATTGTTGAAGAAGGCGGGATTGCTGCACTTGTTGAGGCTATTGAAGATGGTTCTGTTAAAGGGGAAGAGTTTGCTGTTGTTACTTTGTTGCAATTGTGTAGTGATAGTGTTAGAAATCGTGGGTTGCTTGTTAGAGAAGGAGCGATTCCTCCTCTTGTTGCACTTTCCCAGAATGGGAGCCTTCGCTCTAAGAACAAGGTAAAGTTTTGTTAATTCTGATGGATCGAGTATTGATTTCACAGCTTTACAAGTTAATTTTTAAGCCCAATAGTCATTTGTTTGTGTTATTAATGTTGTGATGGGAGTGGTGTTGATGGTAGTGGTGGTGTTGGTGCAGGCTGAGAGGCTACTTGGGTACTTAAGAGAGCCAAGGCAAGAGGCTGCATCATCTTCAAGCCCTTGAAGAAGTGGTGGATTTTGAATGTTTGCTATTCTTGGATAGGTAATTACGAGTACTGATTAGAATGAGTGGTTGTCATTGGTTTGTGTGTACATAGGCAGTGTTTTTTTTATGGTTTTGTACAGTGTGTTTGAGAAATATGAGGGATTGATTAGCGAATGGGAAATTAGGGTAAGCTAGGGAGTAAAAATTGTAGACTGACTTGTTTTAGATGTATGAGTTTGACTTAAACTAGGTTTTGGAAGTTGGGGGTCTGTAATTCTGATGGGTTTTCCAGAGGAGGAATACTTGCTTGCTTTGTGGAGTTTGGTTGGTTGATGATGAAAATTAGGGTCTTGTTCCTTGTGTTTTGCTTGGAAGACCCAAGTTCTGTTTACTGATTGTCCTGTTTAAACTAGTGAAGATAAATGCTTCTACTTGGAGCATGTTTTTGTTGCATCTTGTAGCTTGAATTCTATGTATGCTGTTGATTTCTGTTTTTGCTAATAAGCAACTTAGATTGAGTTCGATCTTATGCTTAAGATTGTGACAGATTCTATGTTCTTGATCTCTCCTTGTGACGCCTAGTTCTTGTCTCCTTTAGACATGCCTGGAAAAGGTCTGAAAATGAAAGACTGGTTAAATCTGATATCTGGGAGATGCAATCTTTGCAATCTTTTACTTTCTATGGTCATGTCGATTTCTGTCTAAGAAAGATCAGGCAAGAAATCTTTGAAATCTTTTAATGATGATAAGGACTCCTGGACATTCACCCAGACAAGAATTATCCCGAGTGCTGTGATTTTGTTGCCCTGGCAATCTGTTAGTTCCTTCCTCCATGGATTGCCACTGAAACTGTCTGCTTCCCAATGGAAGGCTGTGGCATCATCATTTATTTGATGGAATTGAATGTGAAGGATGAGAGAGAGGTATTATTTATTTGATGGAAGCACAAGAACATGCATGGTAGGTCCCTATGATTTGCTCGTCTTTGGTGTAAAATCGTTTTTTCTGCTGTGTGCTTTCCATCACCACCTGCTGTCTGTTCTGCTTGCTATGATCTCTACTGAGAAAGTCCACCACCTACCGCAACCCCACCATGGATTTCCTTACAGCATATAAGATATGATATCTTTATTATCTTTCCTTGTCGATGTTCATTGTGCATTAGCTGGCGGAGCAGGTATGTCTTGGACCAAAAGACCAAATTCAGGCAGTTCACTGACATGGTTTATGTTTTCAATCTTCAAAACGAACAACTTGCAACTTATCATGGATATTAGGCCAGCTAACCGTCCTCTCACCAGCAACAGTCCCTTACTGTAGAAGGATGTTTCCCTTGGTGCAAATGCTGCAACCTTTCTCTGCATCACCATCCATGTGAATTTCGGCTGTCATGCTGCAACAAAACCTTTGGTAATGAATGATTTCGGTGCAAACAGTGCCATCAAACAAGGATTGCTTTTCTCATGGCTGGACTTGGATCAACGTGTCATTGATGGAGATTATTTTAATGTTCTTAGACAATTTGATGTCAGAGTGGTTAAACATTTGTCTGTGTATTGTGGCCACCTCATTAATGTGGTGGATGCTTTTTGGAAGAAATGGATACTCTTATCCAATCAGTTTCTGCCGCCATCACAAGCTTCCTAGTCAAAGCAAACTACAGGTTTTTGATGTAGGGAA